CATCTAACAGACCTTGACTTCGCAGATGACTTGGCTCTTATCGCAGAACTAGTAGAAGATGCCGAAGCGCTGCTCCAGTCCCTAGAAGAGGCAGCCGCTCTTATTGGACTTTATTGTAATGAGAGCAAGACAGAGTACATTTAGCTTACAAGACCTAAAATCTCTTTCCGGAGCAAACATCAAAAGAGCTCAAGACTTCAAATATCTTGGATAAGTTTCTTTTAAAATATTGCTAGTGTTTACTGTATTGACCGTCATAGTTTGATTTAAAAAAAATTGAAACATTTCTGCTGCATATACAGTATTGGAAGACTGAATGTCATATGATACTAAGATGGTGCCGAACTTGAAAAACCTTTCTAAATGAACGTTTTAAACTTAAAAGACCGTGAAGACATGATTATATCATACACTTTTTTCATCATACCCTTTTTTTGTAATCCATATAAAGAAGGGTTAAGTAATATGTGACGTGAATAAAACAGTTTCGTTTTTGGATTGCAGTGTAGTGTATGCGCACCACTGTAATTTTGTGTTTTCACCTGAACATACGACGATAAGTTTTGAACATAATTGGAAAGACCGTTCTGTGGTGCGTTAAATTCTTTTAAGGTCAGAGTCCGCTGTGGAGAAGGTTCGCCGCGGATGATCTCGAACAACTTTCCAGTGTCAAAATAATACTCGAAGCTTGAACCCATGTTGTTTGATAGCCAGATTTCCTGTATCACTCCACGTGGAGTCTCTATAAATATAGAATAATATAAGTAGGTCACGTTTCTCTATTATCGCAACACGTCCAAACACAAGTCATATCTGGACTAATCCTGTATAATAAAAGCCTATATTTAAAAGAGCGCGAAAAAGTGAATGGGTCTAACTAATCACTATATGCTAGTTAGGTTAGTGACACCAGAAACCTATAAGGGACTTAAAACGTGTAACGCCCGTAATTTCTTTAATACAAAGCGTCGGAACATCAAAGCTCATTAAAAATTCGAAAACGAATGCTATAACCTGTATCATGTGGCGACGGCCATGATGTATTTATTACACAATCCTACTAGTTTCCAGGACCTCACGTTACACCTCACTTTTTTTGAAAGGTTATCTACTATAAACAATATCAACTTATAAGTACAGAATATAGATTTCTAAACAAATACAAGGTTATAACTAAAGTTCAGTTCTCCTTACAACTATAGCTTATAATGTTCTCAGTTGGTATTCCATCAAATTGTTTCTATTAATCTTTCTGGCTTTTTTCTTTGCCTATGTGACCTTCGTACGCTAGAAGTGACTTCAACATATTTGAAGGAGTGTTTCTGACATCTGTAAGATTTTCGAGAGCATTTGAATTATCTGTTGTTAACTTTTCTACAGTGTCATCTGGTGTTTCTTGGAACTTTTGTGCTTTTGCTTTCTTACTCCAACATTTATCATCTCTTATTCTGACTGTTTCATTCTCCTTGAGTTCTCTTAAAGGCTTTGCTCTTTTGTCATAATACTCTTTCTGTTTGGATCGTTCAGCTGTTGCACGAGGATCTTTGTTGACTTTATGATCAGCTGCATTAGGTAATGTTGTTCTTAATAATCTKTTCATACATAATTCTGCTGGTGATTTACCACAATCTAAAGGCGTGCTGCGGTATGCTAGCAGTACTAGATATGGATCTTCTTTGGCTTCTAAAGACTTCTTGAGTAAGTTTTTTAMTATTCCTACTCCTTTTTCTGCTTGTCCATTCGACTGAGGATGATAGGGACTTGAGTAGATATATGTTATTTCATATGCCTTGGTGAACATTTTAAATTCTTCACACGTAAACTGGGGACCATTATCTGTTACAATGGTTTTGGGAATTCCATGTCTTACAAAAACTGATTTCAGATAGGTTATGACAATTCAGTAACTATAGTCAGTAACTAATAGTCAGTAACTAATGTGTAGTCCTTACCATTGAGTGTATATATGTCTGCTGCAACTTTCACCCATGGTGTGCTTGGAACTTCATGTGATATTAGAGGTTCTTTCTGTTGTTTATATCTGTACTTCTGACATACAGCACAGGTGCTAACTTTGTTTTCAATGTCTCTACTCATGTTGGGCCAGTATAGTGTTCTGCGGCCACGTCTTCGACATTTCTCTATTCCCATGTGTCCTTCGTGTATCCTGTTAAGCATGTCTTCTCTCAGAGTTGCCGGTACAACTACACGATTGTTCTTAAGTATTACTCCGTCGATTATAGTAAGTTCATCTCTGAAATGATAGTAAGGCTTGGGGTAGGGTCGCATATTATGTATGCGCCGATGAACATTGCTGCACTTCACTAGGTCTCTCAATTATTGTTCATTTTTCGCTCGTTTTAAAATCAATTTTTGCTTCAATTTTCAATATTAAGTCCATCTGGCTCTTGTTTTGACTTTGGTAGTTTTTTTACCTGGACTTTTTCGTGCTAAAATGCCAGATTTTAGCAATTCATCGTGCCCTATTGTTTTGCCGTCGCTGTTTGAACATTGTTCATCCTTTGGCTCAGAACTTGGTTCTTCGCTTTTACGTGATGGCTTAGCTGATACAAATTGTCAATCTGCTTTTGGAAATTTCCATTATCGACATAATCGTCCTTATCGGGGCACGAGAGCTGGTCTTAAAGTCAAATCAAAGCAATCGCGGAAAGTCTATCCCATTTCTTCGCGTGTTACGCTTGACCGCCATACAAGGAACAACTTTGCATGTCATTATCATTCCTCTACAAGGCCACGAACACTTGTTGAAATACGATCTAGTCCGCATTGCAAAGACTTTGTTTMCACAAACTCGAAATTTGGACTCTGGAATGCTCGATCTATGGTTTCTAAAGTGTCTKCAATTTGTGACTTCATTATATCTGAAAGACTCAGCTTGCTAGCTCTCACWGAAACTTGGCTYAAAGGTGACTCACGCGATGACTCTACSCTTGCTACTCTTTCCTCGACACTTCCTGATTATCAAATCATGCATCTTCCTCGATCTAGTAAAGGTGGTGGCGTTGCTATAGTGTATCACAACGGTTACAAGACAATCCAAAACGATCAACGTCGATTCTCGTCCTTTGAGTACCTCGATCTCTCTTTAACGTCCAAGTCTACGTCAATACGCTTTGTCGACATCTACCGTCCTCCACCTGGAAGCAACTCTTCAACCGCAACATTTATTTCAGAACTGTCATCCCTAATTGAAGAATTGATTATTTTCCCTGGTCGGTTTATTATTGTTGGTGACTTTAATTTGCATGTCGATGTCCAGGATAATGGTTTTGCCTTACAATTCTTGGATATGCTGAATGACTTTGGCCTAAAACAGCATGTGGTTTCACCGACACACAACCGAGGCCACACTTTAGACCTTGTAATTACTAGAATCACCGAAGAATTTGTTACAGGATTAAATACTACCTTTTCTCTACCGTCAGATCATGCTGCTGTAACTTTCTACTATTCCATTCCACGTCCTCCGCCTACCAAAATCAAGGTTAATCATCGCAAACTTCAAGACATTGACATTGCTGCTTTAAATAAGGACATCTTGGGCCTACCTATTGCCTCGTCAACATCATCTGACATTGACAATCTTGTTAGTCAGTATAATTTGCAATTGAGCTCTCTGCTTGATTCCTACGCTCCTGCCTCTACGCGTATGGTCACATTGCGTCCACATGCTCCTTGGTTCAACAGTATGCTCCGAGATGAAAAGAAGCTGAAACGCAAGCTCGAACGGAAATGGAGATCCACTGGTTTAGAAGTTCATCGTCAGATGTTTACAAACCAGTGTTGTAAGTACCAAGATCTACTCAAGGCTGCTAAAGAATGTTACTATAGAACTAGAATTAACAATTGTGATGACAGTAAGTTGTTCTTCGAAGTTAACAAGATTGTTAAGTCTTCAAGCAGTTGTCTGCT